TATATTAATAAAATAAAGCATATTTTTCAAGTTTATCTTAATAACCTTCCATTTATATGCGTTATTTTTTATTTAATTAAATTATAGTTATATCTGATAGTTATGTTAAATCTCTCTTCAACAATATCTCAGTAAATCTTTTTCTTCATACAAGATATTCTTTCAATTTAATAATACAAATTGTGTATCAAGAACAGTCCATTCACTGATTAATTCGTTAATTTTATTATGTTTCAGCAAGAATACAGCATTAAAAATAATTCTGTCGACATGTTCTAGACTTTAAAAAAATCCAAACGTCACGCACTAAATGCAGATTAATGTAAATTTGGTCTTTACCGAATAAACTCGTAAACATGTTTTTATAAATAGAGAACTATTGAACATAACGATTGCATAATAATGTTTAGTTTTATGTCAGCTTTAAATTGTTCAATTAAATTTATGTCAGGATGTCATTAGTTAATAATCTAATCCTGTACGACGATAAAATTCTAATTGAATCAGACAAAAACGTTTGAAAAATAAGTGGGACCTATTACAATTAATAAAATATTTTAATCCTCAACAAAAGATATATTCTCCCTTTAAAACCTTTCTTTAAATAATGCACTAGAGGACTGACAAGGAAATAAAATAACATTTAAAAATTGTTTAGTCTTCATTCTTTGATAATATACTATATATTGAAAGCAATAATTATATACACTAAAAAGTATAATATTCTTTTAATTTTATTCTTGTATATTCATATACAAATTTTCATTTATATAGTACAGCATTCATAATACACTGAAAATAGAAGCAATCGTTAACCATACATTCTGAAATCTGTAATTTTGCTACGGATATCTTCAACTTCTTATCATAAAAATCCAGCAACTAGTTGTCTAACTTTTCCTGGCAACATTTTGTGGCGCCATCTGTTATCATATTTTAAAAACTTTTTATATTTTAACTATAGTATTATAAAATCACAAAAAGCTTAATTTTGAGGGTAGGGATGGGTTTTATAAAAAAATGTAAATGCTAATAACGAGTAAAATCGTCATTAAGACCGACCCTAGTAGAGATACACACGATTCCCTTTATCTCTCCACCCCTTGACCTTTAATCACCAAAATTTAATAGCACCAATCCCCCTAATAAACAAATTTTTCTGCATAATTTCAAAAATTTTCGACAAAAAGAACCGTTATTAAGCTTCAAACAAAATGAACAAAATCGTGCCACCATACACTAACATTCATACATACAGAAAATAAACCCCGAATTTTTTACATTTCTCGACGTTTCAAGATGTCCTGATCCAAAAATGTAAAAATCTTGGGGCGAGATCATTTATTGACAGATCTCCACACTTCGCATCTGTTATATATAATAGTCCGGAAAGTAAAAATGATATCTTTATATACTAAAGATACACAAGATGTTTTTATGAAGGTAAAAGCATCTTTAGTTTACAATACCATTATTTTTCCGGGGATAAGGTTATGAGCTCCCTCTAAAGTAAAAGCATACTGTAAACATACTGTAAACTTTATACAATTTTTCTTTTACAATTTATGATTATAAATATGCAAAAGTACTAATTATCAGTGAATATAAAGCTCAATAGTTTCTCTTTATATAAAGTTTTTTCTATTTGTTGTGATAAAAAAATCACTCATTACAATAAAATTCTTTTCTGCAACTCTTTTCTAATTGCAGAAACGGTTGTTTCTTCATTTTCTTCAATTCAGTAATTGAAGGAAATGAAAACAATTTCTAATTTTCTAATTTTTCTGCCACTATCCATACAACAAAGAAAACAGAAAATAAAATCAATGGACCGAATTCAAATATTTTAAAAGCCAAAATGTGACTAAGAGTAATTACCTATTACTAGTAAATATGATCACAAATTTTCCATAGGATTAATAAAATATAAACAATATTAAAAAATGAATTGTGGACACACTTAATAAAATTATTGTGAGGTTTAGTTTTGTCAATTATTTCTTATTAATACAAAAATTTATGCAGAGCTTATTAAAGCAAATAAATAATTTCAATTATATAACACAATTCATATAAATTAATTCTATAAAATAAATGTTCATTGAACAATCTAATTATAAAAACAAGAATCATTTTTTTAATAATTGATAATAAATGGTTTTCTCACATTATTTCACACTTCTTTGAATACAAAACGATTCTCATTAATTAACTGAAATTTCAAATTAAGATTATTAATATTCCACTTTGATCAAATAAATCTCAATAGTTTCAAAACAATAAGATATAAAACAAATTAATTATTTATAATTCTAAGAAAAATAATTCTCTTATTTAATTTGATAAAATTAAATTTCAAGTTTCATTTCATTAAAAAAAATTGTAGTTTGTTGAATAGATTTTTATAGTGAAGATTATGGAGATTATAAAACAAAANATTGAAATCATAATGAGTTACTTTTTAATTTTAAAAAAATCTGTTTATAGTCAAATAACATTATTTATCAAATGATGTTTACCACAAGATATGTTTCTGTTAACTTAAATTTCATTACTCTAAACTTATTATATGAATGAATTTGGATAACAAAAATTTAAAAAATCTATATAGTTAGAAATTAGAAAGTTATATACATTTAATATCTTAGAGAAAAAATTACTAATCTACTGGTTCTGTAAGACCCAAACACCTTATTATCAACAAAAATTTTACTAAGAACAGAAAGATAGAAACCTGAAGACCATCTCCAGGTTCCTATCTTTTGAATAGATTCAGGAAAAATGCCATTTACAGATTAATTCAAGACACGCAGAATTTGTTAGGGTAGAGGTGCACAAAATTCACCCTCTCCTTCTGAGATGCATCAATATTGTCGTTCCTCTTCCAATTCATATAAAAAAAACAATAGGTATAATAAATTTGTCTTCTTACAAACAATAAGATCTGAAAAACAAATGTATACAAATACAAACATGTATTCTGTTATGCTTTTATTGTAAAAAGTTAAAATTCTGCACCCACGTTAACCCACAGTACACCACTGTGCTGCAAATATGAAACACAGTTAAGAGGGAAAAAAATGTATTTCACATTAATTAAATTAATTCTTAAAAAACATTTTAAAATAGTAAATTAATCGTTTATTTTTTTCCTTACTTCATAGTTAATGTTAAATTTATCGATTGATCTTCATAGTAGGTTAATTACTAGTGAAATTACTAATGCAGAATCTCACTGTACAAATATTTTTAGGACATATTAATACAGAGACGAATAATAAATGAAAATTTCATTGATTTCTATGGAAAATATCGTAGAAAATTAATCGATAAAAACCTATTTGAACTATGACTTTAACACGCGTTTATCAGTTATCCGCTCAGAATAGCGATCTAAATTTACAATTTCCGTTTACTGATTTTGATATTTATTTCGAATATTTTTACCATTCGTGCAGTCAAATAATATATTAAAATAAATAAATAAATAAATAATAAAAAATTACTTACAGCTAAATTAACATTGGGCACAGATGGTCCCTGCTCCAGTAAGATCTTCACAATTTCAGTATTTCCTGTCCAAGCAGCTAAGTGTAGGGGCGTAGAACCTTTGTGATCAACGACGTTGGTAGATGCCTCATATTGCAATAATAATGACACAATTTCTCTGAAAAAATAAGGGAATTTTAACGTTTTAAGCATTTCAATATATCATGAAAACAGAATTATAATTAAGAGAGAATAAACATGTAGGAAATTCTATCATGTTAAATGCGATATACGTATCAGAATAATAATTACATTTATAAATTCTTTCTGGATTATTATTATTATTATTGTAATTCTGCTTAAAATTTACCGTTTACGCGATTTATGATTTACGATATTAGTGATGAGAGATCATTAAAAAAATTGTAAAATGTTCATTAATCCTCGTGTTCTCCGATTGTGGGAGCGCCTTATACGATGTCTCTACTGTTTGACAATATAGTCATGACATGAAAGATTCCTTCAGGAGCCACTTTTCATTGCAACGAAAACGTCAAGTTTTGAATATGACATGGCCATTGCAGAATGGAGAAACAGGGATGCACTTAACATTCCACATGTCGTAGTTTTAGTGATTTAAAATGTAGTAGAGTATCTGTCGTACATTCGGTCGAATGACTCTTGATGTACGATAAGTGAAGTTTATTGTATCCATTTGGGATAAATTGTTTAGAATAGGCCATAAAATGAACTCCATAGAATATACAGAAATAAATTTAATGATGAATGACTCGAACGTGTGTGTGCCCCCCTCCTTTTCAAGACTTAAAGCTCGGCCATGCAACATTCATGTAATTCGTTGCAATGTCCCTCTTTAAATGCAAATATATTAGAAGAGAAAGTTTAATAAATATTAAAAATAATTGATGACAAACAACTGTTTAAAATACTCACTTATGCCCGTTGAGCGCTGCGTGATGTAATGACGTATAACCAGACTGGTCTTGAGCATTAGCACCTGGCCCGCGACGTAAGCTGTACAAAAATTTAAGTATTTTAATGCTACCTTAATTAATATTCATTATAAATAAAAATTAACGGATAATTCGGCTGATAATCTGCATTAATCAATACACAACATTACAATTTTAAGTCCTTCCGCTTAAAAATCGTGCAAATATTCATTACTTTTTAATAAACGTATTCAAATATATAATTAAAATATATTTATCTATTTTAACACGGGACTTAATGAGATTCAAGTCTCTCATTTCTAGAATAATATACAGGTTTCATGATTAATGTTATATTTAGGTTATAGGAAAAGAATGTTAAACTTCTATTTTCGTTAAAATTTTTCAGGAAATTACCTGCTTTTGCATGCTTAACTTATATAAATTATGTAGCAGTGCAATCATTTTAAAGTGACCCTGAATTTAAAAAAAGAAAGAAAGAAAGAAATAACCTTCACTATTTCCTTCTGATATCATATAGCAAAAGTCATAACAGGAAAACAGTTATCCATTCATAAAAGTAATTCTAACATTCTTTAATTAATGAACAGAATCAATTTTAAAGAATTAAAAGTTTGCAACTACAGTAAAACCTGTCCAATGCAGAACCCGAATAAAAAGGAAACCTGCCAAAGACCAGAAAAATATTCGGTACCGTGCGATTCCGGTTTACACAGGTTTTACTGTAGAATAATCTTATTCGTATACAGACGAAAATAAAAGTGCTAACGAGATACGAGATTTTTCTTCAGTGAAACATGGACGTGATTTTCTTCCTTTCTTTTTATTTTCTTTTTAATATTCTTATCAGGAGAATAACATAAAACACATGATATATTATTTAAGCCATCAGACCTTTGTAATTTTATTTCAACGACAGATTGAGAACAGGACAAACCAATCGGTTGAATGCTATTCAAGCGAAAGAGATAGGATAACAATGCGACGACACTTCGGCGACATACAAACGTGTCCCATGTCACAGATAGTCTCGACACTGTAATAATCGATCGTCTTTTGGACAGAAAGTCGATGATACACAAGATAGATAGATCCAAAACGCAGAAAGGTGCTTTCGAGAAGTTAACGATAATGGTTTCTAAGTTACCCTTTGTAGTATTTAAGATTTTGAAAATAAGTCTGAAGGCCATGCACACGGACCCGGGCTTGTGTCCTGAACAAGCTTGTGTCACGAACACACAAAGACCTAACTAAAGAAAACGCGTGTTGCTACTCAACAGCACTTTTTATGGATGGAGAAAAAAACAAAGACATCTTCATTAGTGAAATTTCATCTGTTTCCATTTGTTAATAACCCCAAAAAACAAGTCCCGTAAAAACCAAGCGTGGTAGAGGATTAAAGTGTTGAGGGGTGAAAGATTATAATGAGCACAATATCCTCGTAAAATTTCAAATCTCATCCGGATTAGTATTATGCGCTATTATTAGAAGTTTCTAATAATAAAATACATGGATGCGGTTGACATCACAGATAATGTCATCAAAAAATAACAGCTGTAAGTGTTTACGGTGAAATTCTAAAACACACTACACACAAACACCTTATACATAGATATACACGCTAAAGTAATTATGTAAAAAAAAACATAGATACTCTTTTCTGAAAGCCCATTAATTAATTGTCATGCAAATAACAGAAAACATTCTCTACTTTATCTAATTTTATGCGCTAAATTATATTTATCTTACAAAATGACATTCTAATTTCCGGAAGAATATTGAGTTACGTCATCGTGTCGAGTGTAGTACGTGTTTCAAAAGGTCAAATTAACAAACAGACACAGGTATATTTTATTTAAATTGCGAAATATCTTATTCATATTTTATAATGCATTGAAATATATCTCTTGTTCCTCGAACTTAAAATCGAAACACCTTCTGCATGTATTTAATAATCGCGAAACACGTCAGGTGAAGCAATAAATGACGTCATCTCACCTAGTTTTTTCCTTAACAAGACTCACTCGCTACGTCATTTTACAACGAACTTGTTGAATCATTCACGTATACAAGGTTAAATTTTATCATAAAATATTATTTAACTGAGAGAAATAATGAATAAATAGGTTAATATCAGTCTTATTACGTAACCTTATTTTTACCAATTAAGTTGGCATTTAGACCCTAAAGTCTAATTATCTCCTTAAATGATAAACTACTAATACCTATTGTACTAAACAGGAAGTATAAAAATATACTTCAAGCGGTGTACAGTACATCCAGTACGTCTCTGCGTGAACTTCAACGGAAACTTGCATAAATTACCTCCAGAAAATCAATTCACTTTATTAAAATATTCGATAATATAAATTTTAAATATCAAATTATTATTTCTAAAGCCGAATACATATGAGTCCATTCTCTAAATCGGGGAATTCTACTCTTAAACAACCAATAACCTGAATTAGAAAGGACGATGACCTCGCATCAAACAACAGGAGACTAATATTCGCCCCGTTTGCTTGTACACCAACATAATACAATATAATCACGGCATTTAATTTAAATTATAATTAATATATATACATAAAAAACTAAAAGTGGATGAATATAATTACATTTAACTATCGAATTTTACAGATAAACAGCCAGGATATTTGCAGAAAACGAGCCAGAAAATAATTTTTTTTAAGAGGGGGATATAAGTGTGTACCATAATTTGTATGCAGTTAATAAAAACGATTACATTTTTTCTTTTTCATTTTTTAATTTTTTCTCGTTGTTACAGTCTCTTAGTCGAGTACAGAACAGAATAGAAGCTGACTGAAATACTGAATGCGAACGATCGAATGAGACTCATCCATTAATCATGATGTGTCTCGCAGAGCTTACGCCACTTCCCGACTTTATAAGCGGGATTCTCGTGTTAAATGTCTGCTCCTCACCTTAGAGCGATTTTTTTTAATCACAGAACTGACTAATCTACATCAATTGTCATTTGAATATCGCCGTAAAATATTCAAAGATGCAATTTAAACCATTTATTGTTTGACGTATTCGTAATTATTCTACCTTAAAATTTCCAATCCGGTAGAATTAATGGTAAAGCTATCTTGATCAAGATTTATATGTTTACATAACTAAAACACTACATGCATAAAATGTAATAAAACGTTTCTATCAAATTTGATTCATTTTATAATCAAAAAATATATATATATAAAATTGTAATAATATATTATTAAAACCACAAGTTTAAATTACATAGAATTCGTTTTAATTCTACTCACTAAAAAGGACATGTCGTGCCCTGGGAGAATCCTCTTAACCTAAATTAATAAGTTATCCTTTCTATAAAAGAAGATCTTGTGTTGTTTATAATTTCATTGCTTCTCTAAATAATAATAATAATAATTTCTATTCTAGTTACTTCCTGAATTAAGAACTAGTGGAAAATAATACGAAGGTTATCAATTAGTTTCGTTATTACTTTCCCTCTGTTATATACTGTATAGGTGTGAAAGTATGGTGATCGGTCAAAAAATGACCCTTCCTCCAAAATTTTTAATTTTTGGGCTAGGGAGACCTTGAAATGTCGATTTCTTCTGCATGTATGGTTGTTAGTGTATGTGTGTATGTGGGAGAGACACGATTTTTTCACTCATTTTGAAGCTTAATTCTCGTTCCTTTCGTCGACATTTTCTGAAATTTTGCAGAGGTTTGTGTATCAGGAGGAATTTTCCTAGAAAATTTCAGGAAAATCGGACCATGGATTCGAGAGCTATGGCCCCACTCCCTTCCAGCACGTTTCCAGCGTTTTTGATAGCCTATATTCTATATTAACATATTTACAACTCCGAATTTAACGCATGCCCCACTTTCAAGAAGCGATTTTCAGGAAGACGTTCGGATGGTAATTAAAAATAAATATATTTTATTAATGTTTTTCTCTATTTAATTTAATTTATTTAATTTTAACGTTTAAATTAATTTATTAAACGTTAAAAAACGTTTAATATATTAATTTAATGTATTTAAAGCATGATATAATTGACAGCAAATACAAAACAAGCAGAAAAACTAAAAATTTTCATTATAAGAGTGACAAGGCATATCCTGAATTTAAGATACATTCTTGGAAAACGTGCAGAAACTACGTCTTAAATGCAAAATAATAGCATACATTATATAATTTTTATGAATTTACAGTCAAACTTTTCTATACATTTCAAAAAAGAGATATTCCCGAAAATGATCGACGTCTAAAGGTGGTCTTATCGGAGGTTCGATTTTAATTTCTTAATAAAGATATAGACCGACAAGCACTTTTGAAGTGGAATGAATCTTAAATTCGAAAAAATTTTCGGGAAGAAGAAAATTCTGAATGATAATTAGAAGAAATACTCAATTTAAGACGTACAAATTGACCTTTAATAAGGAATTTTCAAGGGTAAAATCTCAGATTTCATTCTAATTGTCATATCCCCCTCTTACACCTCTTTACAGTGCCAAAAGTCAGAAATTTCTACAAAGAAAAACCAGCGCATTCACGTACAGTACTTTCCAATACAATTTTTAGAATTATTTTTGTATGGAAACCTTGTCGATGCGTAAACTATTTCAGTTTAGATAAAAGTGTAATTATTATCTAATCCTGTATAAGAATATACTACAAGAAAATCTGATTTCTAAGCATCAGTGCAGATCAATTTATTGAGTGATGGTTTGATAATGTAATAATTGAAATCTTCACGCTTGGTGGACTCACAAGAATAAAGATTTTAGTTAATTAAGATGTCGAAATTGCTTTCATTTCATTAGTTTTATGAAACTACATTAAATTTTTAATAAAAATATTGAAATTAC